GCACCCGGGGAAACCCCACGGAGGGGGAGCAGGCTCTATCAGCTGGGCCATCACAGGCAGTCCCTGGAACATGGTTCTATCCGAATCATCCAGAAAACACAGGTGCACGTTCTGAGTCACCTAGGGGTGGGTGGCCTGCATTCAGGAAGCTTCCCAGGTGATCCTGCACCAACCCGAGCCCTTGGGCAGGTTGGTCAGAGCTGGGCACAGGTGGCCAAACCACTGGCACCGATTCTGCTAATGCCTTTTTTCTCATCCTCTCCCTTGCACACCCTGAGGCCCAGGCTTTATATTCTATCCTAGTTTTGAACCAGGGAAACTTTGGAAAGTAGCACCTGCCCTGGAAAGCGTCTTGGGAGGATGGTACAGAGAGAGGACCCTAGAGTGTCTCCCCAGGCCATGCACTTGAGGGTGAAAGGGGCGGGTCTGAGGAGTTCCTAAAGTCGCTGATAAGTTCAATTTTTGCTGAAAAGCAGGCCTCCTGCTAGAGTTTAGGGAAAAAAAAAAAAACAACTCAGTGATTTTAGCTTTCCCACGAGGAGGAATCCTTTTTCTTCAAGTTTAGTATTCAAGGACATAAACATTTGGTTTGGGCAAGTAAATAAGTACTGGGAACAGCGGGGCGTTTAGTTCTTTTGGCATATTTTATAAACAAGGGGGCAGGCTAAAAAGCAAATAATGCCCTCATTAGGAAAACTAGCGCAGAATTTCGGGCTGGCAGGACCCTCTGTGCAGGTTCACGCAGACGCCAAGGCCGCCTGGAGCTCCAGGGTGAGGCTTGGGCAGGAGTGTGTATGCAGCAGTTGGTACCTTCAAAGTATCAAGACTCCTGCGTGCTGGCCAACAGCCGTGGGGAGTGGCTGAGGACCTTGCAATCAATTTTCAATTAAAAACACCCCGGGGCTGGAGGTACAGCACACTGTAAAGTAGTGCTGGCCTGGCATGCCCAAGGCCCTGGGCTCCAGGGTGGAGGGGGTTCTGGGAAACTACTTGCCACACAGGCTCATTTGCATAATGTTGCTGATGGTATCTTCCCCGGAAACCCTACTACATACAGCTGCCTGAAGGCGGCCGTTCATCCAGCAGGAATCACAAGATATTCTACAAGGAGGACTCAATCCACATCTTGCTGGTAGGAGGTTAAGTGATGCCCAGGGAGGAGGTGCCTCGAGGAGATGGCCTGGCCTTGGCAGGATCCTCCCTCTGGCCTTATCAAAGCAGCTGCTGCAACTATGTAACCCTCGGGGCCACAACCCAGGAGTGCACACAAAAGAACAAAATCAAGTGGGAGGGGCCTGCACTGAGAGTGGCCTCTTACTACACTCTTCCAGACCAGCTGCACGATGGGTCCATGATTTTAATCACAGGAATTTTCAGAAAGATTGCTGTTTCCATAATATCAAATGGATAGTCCTGACTACTCAGGAGGCTGAGGCAGGAGGGTAGCTATTTCTAGGTCAGCTGGGGTTACTTAGCCTGACCCTGTCTCAAAGTGAAAAATAAAAAGGGGGCTGGGGATGTGGCTTAAGCGGTAGCGAGCTCGCCTGGCATGCGTGCGGCCCGGGTTAGATCCTCAGCACCACATACCAACAAAGATGTTGTGTCCGCCGAGAATTAAAAAAATAAATATTAAAAATTCTCTCTCTCTCTCTCTCTCTCTCTCTCTCTCTCTCTCTCTCTCTCTCCTCTCTCACTCTCTTTTTAAAAAAATAAAATAAAAAAAAATAAAAAAAAAAATAAAAAGGGTCGGAGATGTCGCTCAGTGACCGAGCATCCCTGGGTTCAACCCCCATTACCAAAAAAATAAACAAAAAAAACCCAAAAAACAAAAAACAAAACAACTTCATGGTCTCCATTATATTTTCACAATGTTTATTAAAACAAACATTTTAATAAAGACGTACATTGGCCATGACTCTGGAATTAGAAATCCTTTTGCTCTTCTACCTCTTTGCTCAAGTGATCACTACAGCTATCTTGGCAAGGTGACGAGCAACTTCAGCCAAGACAAGACTAACACCATAGGAGGACCAAGCAAGTAGAGGTCAGACCTGAATTCTAACGTCTGCTCAGCCCCCTGTGCTTGATCCTACTTATGAGTACTGTTAAGTTAATTTTTACATATTACCTGGCTCATGCCTTGCCTAACATTTCAAATACGAACATTCTTGTGAGTTGCCATTCGTTTTACGGTCAGCCGTGGTCAGGGCAAGTCCTCAATTGGCAAGCCTTTGTGAAGGCGCATCCTGTGTGCCAAGGGGTAGGAATGGTTTAATGGATGAGAGCTGTGTACTTCTGCTGCTATGTTCCAAGAGACTCACTGGCCAGTGACAGGAACAGGCAATACACCAGCAAGTCAGTAAGGACATTTTTATAGCATGACAAGTGCCAGGAAGAAGTAATGATGGCAGTGCCAGCTTGGGTGGTGGAGAAGGGGAAAGGCTACTTCCAGTAGGACAGCTGGGAAGACCCAAAGGGAAGTGACGTTCAAGGTGACTGAAGAGCTGGGTGGAAATGTTCTAGGAGAGGAACAGCAAGCAGAGCCTCAGGTTTGGCTCACTGCGAGGAAAGAAAGGAATACATGTGCCTGGTGCTTGGTGAGGCCATGATGACATCACTCACTGCTTGTGTGGGTAGACTTAGCTCCTTCTCCAGTATACCTGTCTGTCATCAACTGCATGACATTCAGATGGTCTTACATCAGTGTTCACCCAAGGCCCCGAGGTACAAGCTACAAAATCCAAACTCCTCTAGACAGCAACTTGACGGACCTGCCCATTGCAAGCAAAAGCCAATCCCAAACCCTGGCTGAACGACAGCCCAGAGATGTCCTCCTTATCACCCGCAGCACGAAGCCTTGAGCTCAGGACATGGCCCAGAACCATTCCAGGTGACAAAAATTACAGTCAGGGCCTGAGAGAAAATGGTTTTCTCCTTTCTCTTTTCCATTTCCAAGGTCAAAGTCTTTATATATTCTGAAAATAATCTAATGTTCATGAAATGCTGCAGAGAAAAATAACCATAGAGAACAGAACAAACTGCCAAATCCAGTATTTATTAGGCAAACGAAGGCATAGAGAACCAGGTTAATAGCCATGATATGATGGCTGGGTGGTGTTCTATGAGTAATTTTTACCTGCTTTCCTTTTGGGGGGAGGGGTTCTCTCTATTTTTAAGATTTTCTTCAAGAAACATGTATAGTTAAAGGCTTCTATGTGAAAAAAAGGACAAGGAAAAAAGAAGAAAAGTGTATTCAAAACAAGATCTGAGTTTAAAACAAGCTCAGTGCAAAAACAAAATGCATCTCTACCTCAACCTTTCTCTCTAGCTTTCTCTCTCCATCCTGCAAGCAACTACTTAAACAAAGTAACAACCAGCTTCTTTGAATAAGACACAAAATAACATTTTATGCTGGTGTGGGCTTTCCATTTGCCAAGCCCTTTAACTCACTTGTTGACTTAGAAATCAAGGGTGGGGGTGCGGGGGAGCTGCCTTGGACAGGTAGTAAGAATGGGGATCAGAGCACCCTGGTTTCCAATGCTACCTTTCGAGGCAGGGAGATTTGGGATAAGTCCCTAAATAGATGAGCCCCAGTAAGATTCTCTGCAACATGGGGACAAAAATGCCAAAACCCACGTCACAGGATGATGTGAGGATTCACCGACACTGGTTGTAAAGCTGCCCAAGTCCTCACCTGGGGACCGGTCAGGTAGCCATTCTTTTCCTCTTTTATGAAGAGCATTTGTCATTGCCCTTACTTGGAGGAGTCAGGTGACTTGCCCAAGGTCCCCTACTAGTAAGGGGCAGAACTGAAGACACTAATCCCAAGGCAAACTGCCCTGCCAGCCACAACGCTTTTGAGCACCATCTGAGAACCTGAGTGCAACAGAGGAGCTGGTCTAGAACCAAGATTCCCATGCCAGACTATGTGAAGCTCACACCTAGAACTTTCAGAAAGCATTAAAAAAAAAAAAAGGCATTTTTATTTAAAGGATAATGATGCTGCCTCCAGATTTTTGAGTCATGAGGGCACATACAAGCCATCTTCCGCTGTGAATTCTGCATGGTATTCTCCAAGAACTCAAGGCTTAGATCAATTATTTGAAAGAGGCAGGTACGGGGCATCACTTCTGCAAAAAGTTCCTTTGATCAAGCTCTGCTTATTCTCTCCTCCCCAAACCAACCCAAGCAAAGCAAGTGCAAATGTACTATTCTTTGCTTTGCAGCACAGGTAAGAAACCATTCTGCAAAAAGGTCCCCACCTCCAGACAGTCCTATTCCACTGCTGTGTCACGGCCTTTCACACAGAACTGAAGCCATGTGTCACAGTCACACAAAAACTCTTTTAATGTGGTGATCTAGGTTAAGATAACCAGAGATAGACCAGCAGACTTTTTTTTTTTTTTAACCCTATGAAATTCCAAGCCCCTTAAAGGAGGTGCTTCTCCTGTCCCCTCACCTCGGTGTGTGCAGAGGACACAGAAGCATACCAGGGCACAGCACACAAAGTATTGCATGAATAGACGAATGAATGGTATCGGTCCTGGGAACAGGCAGTCATCTGTACAAGATATTAATTCCCCCCAAAGCCTCAAAAAGTCAATCAGTCAAAACAAATGGCCCTTTCAGCCTGAAAAGTGTCCACTCAGAGTCCAATTAGGAAAATAGGCCTGTGTGTAGTCAAGTGCAGCATTTGCATTTGATTAATCCTGAGAGTTATCTAACTGCCTCTAGAGACCCCCCCACCCCCCCCACCCCCCCAGGTCCGTTCTTTCAATGGTGCGGTTATTGTGAGGATGGAATGGTACAAATTTCTAAAGGGCTGTAACTGCAAAATTATTAGCACTGGCTCATTTTCTAAACTGAAATAAATGAAGATGCAGTCATCTGGGCTACTGGCTGAACACCCATGGCTGTTGGGTTTCAGTCCCTCTTCCCCCTCCTCTTTTTCTTATTCCGGAGGAGGAGCCAACTGCTCCTGAAGGTTCTGGGCGGTCAGAGTATGACCTTGGGTGTTGCCATGGGAAAATGTTGGAATCACAGGGCCCAAGGAGTATTTGCTTTAAGAAGAGTCCAGACCTGGACACAGCCACTCTTGCGCCCAGCGACCTCTCCGGACAGCGCAGAGCGTGCAGAGCTAGGTGGCGCAGAGCTAGGTGGCGCGCAGCCGTGTGTAGGGTTCCGGACGCGCGCATGTGCGTGTGCGCGCCACGGTAAGCACTGCCCCCAACCCACAGGCCAGCAGCTTGCGGTGCCATCTGTCACCAGCCTCGCCCGGGCTGCTCCCTCTGAATGGCTTTCCCTAAGACCAACCCGCTCGCCCTGTCGGACGCAATCAGGTCAGTACAACCCTCTGCCAACGCTAGACCTGCTGCCTGTCGCGGCACCCAGGGCCACCAACTCCAGAGCAGACCCTGCATCTGTTGGGAGGCCCTCTTCTCCGTAGGTCACCCACTGCAGGACGCAGCCGGAAGTGCCCTCTATTCCCAAACAGCACCGGTTCCAAGCTGCAAGCTGTCCTGGGTTCCCCCTGACGGCGTGCGCGCTCCACCAGGTCCAGGAACTCAGGACCCGGGGCCAGCATCTTTTTAGCAAGTTCTAAGTTCTCAGCTAAGGCCTGGTGACTTCATTAAAAATAATAATAATAAAAGCAGAAAGCAACCCAACCACAATAGGAGTCGATCCGCAGGCTCGGCACCGCAGCAACCCGGCTCCTTCTCCCGGTGATGTGGGCTGACATCACAGCTCAGCCCTGGGCCTCTGCCCGCTCCAGCCTGGGCCTCTTCCCTGGCCTCCTACATGGGGAGGAGGCAGTGCGATCCCACCTTTGCAGGCAGGCCTCCTGGCCTCGCCTGAACCCCAAGCTGGCCTGACTTATCTCCCGTGCTGTTCCTTCCCTCTGCATCTGTGCGGGGAGTCCAGTCACTGGGGGCCACTTTCATGATTTTGTTGCCATCAGGATTAGCTGGATTAGGGGCCAGTACATAAGGACCCCCTGGTGCCGTGAGGAAGTTTCATCACGGGGTCAGCATGGTGTGAACTATATTCTGTCAACACCACCACTTCGTACAGCCACCAACCAAAAAAAAAAAAACAAAAAAACAAAAAAACAAAAAACAAAAAAGTGATGGGGGGGAGGAGTGTAAAATGTATCAACTCATCATAGCAATAAATCCCCCTACTGGGCATTTCAAAGCGTGTAAGCCATTCAGGACTGTCCTTTCAGACAAGAAACTTCAGTGATTTAAAAAAAAAAAAAAAAAACTATTAAGAACGACATCGTGGGTCTGACAGTGGTGGTACCGGGCAAGGGGAGGAAGTACAGCTGCCCGTGGGGGAGGGGGAAGCCCACAAAAAAACTAGCTCTTTTTCAAAACCAGTCAAGCAGTTTGGGAACAGTCCCACCAAGGAGAGCTTATATTTTGTTCCAAGGTTCTTGCCATCAAGATAAGATGGTTCCTTTTTTTCTAAAACAAAATTTCCATCACTGCCCATCCAGCAGCCCCCCTACTCATATGAAGGACAGCAACACTCACTGGTAGGACAGGAGCAGAGAGAACGGTGTGGGGGGTAAGAACACAGGGAGGAAAACTAAAAACAGATCTTTTAACTCCTATAAAACTCCAGTGACTGCCATTTTTCCTCCAAGGGGATCATTTGGCCCATTTACCGACCCAAATGCCCCAACCATGGGCCCCACTCGGTCTGGACCCTGTGCGAAGTAAACACAATTTGCAGAGAAAGTCATGGGATTTCTGCAAGTGTGTGCAAGTGTGTGTGTGACAGAGCAGTCCCTCGTGCACAGAACCGGCTGTCCCATCAAAGCCGTATCTGTTATATTTCTGTCCTACTCTTCTGTTTGGAGTATTCACCCACAAGAGAAAAGGAGGTAAGCTCTCGCGGCCCTGACCTGCAGCTGGAACACAATACTTTCGCACAGCCCTGCCGACCCCTGACATAAATTTTACACCGCAGCTGGCATTTACACACTCAGCATTACCATATGTATAGCTACTCGGTGCTAATTATGCTAATCACCTGTCTAACTCGCTGCTGCGAAAAATGGTTGTATTTAGCAGTCCAGTGCGTACCAATGCAGCTTACTGTGTGGCTGAAATGTACATTCAGACGGCCCTGAATGGCAAGATTTTTCCACGTTGCTGGCTACATTCAGGCCTCAGAAAAATTTATTCAAGTCAACTGGTTTCGGTCCGCAACAAAAAAGTTACGAGAAAAAAGTGAGTGTGTTCTTGCCCTAACATTCTGGATCTGCTTGCAAGCAAAATGATAAATCAATTGGTGTGGGAAACAAAAAGGGAGAGGGATTTCTTTTGGGAGCCATGTGAAACTGTAGCCTATTTAAAAAAAAAAAAAAAGAAGAAGAAGAAGAAGAAGAAAAAGAAAGAAAAAGAAAAAAAAAGAGAGAAAGAAAAAAAAGGGGTCATCCTATTCCTCAAATCTCTAGAAAGAGCAGTTAATAGATATTTAGCCCTAATCCCAATTCTCTTAAATTGCAAGCTTTGTTTGCAATTAAGCAAAGTGTTAAACATGTACAATTCCCCACCCCATCATGCACAGACTAAAACAACAACGGTATCATATTTATCAGTTTTACTCATTACAGCAGTGTGTGAACTCATGGGGGAAGACAATCAGCTAAAAGTAAAGAAATAATTTCTTAGGCAGCTAGGGAAAATTCTTTTGTCATTTTCTTGCTTAGAAAGCCTCTATTTAAAAAGGGGCTGGGTGTGATGTTTAAGTCTTATTTTGTGAAGGTTTCTGGTTTCCCAGTAAAGGAGCAAAGGAAATCAGGGAGCAGGGGTGGGGGGGAGATGGGAAAATTCAAATAAGAAAAAAGTGGTGGGGGAGGGAGAGGGAGGAGTGGTCTCAAAACTCCTGTGTTCACCACTGCTGATTTGTAAAGCAGTTTTCTCAAATCACTGTATAGGATGGATTTCTTAAATGCGGGCGATATTAGTGCAGCTATTTTAATAATGCCCTAAATTCAAAATGAAATCCGATTTCCTCCTAACTCACAAAATATGTACCTATTAACTTAAAAACCCCGGAGTTGGGCCCCTGCGAGGTTGTGCAGGATGCAGGGGTGATGCCCAGGCAAACCCACCCCCTTTCACTGCCAGCTGCGCGTGAAACACATCTGACCCAAGGGTGGCCCCAAGTGCCCCATTCCGTTCCGTTCTCACCTTCCGTGATCTCCATTAGCAGAATCCTTACTTAAATCCAGAAAGCAGGAACAAACCGGAAGACCCTTTATTTTGCACCATATCTTGGGCCACCCCCCAGTGTGATATAACACCCGAGCAGCCTGGGGATAAATCTTAGCTTTATGCACAGGTGAACCCGCCCAGCAGGCCTTCCCTCACGCTGTAGGGGGTCCTGAAGGAAGCAGAGCCTCTCCTGGCTTGGCTTCCCTCACCTTTCAATTTAACCAGGAGCAGATGACAGAGATGAGGCTCACAGAAACTTGAGGATGCTGCCAGGAAGACTACAACTTTCTTCCTGGCCCTCCCCACCCCAAGGATGAAGCTCAGAGTAACTTGAGGATGCTGCTAGGAGGACTGCCAGCCTCATTCGTGTGTGTGTGTGTGTGTGTGTGTGTGTGTGTGTGTGTGTGTGTGTGTGTGTGTGTTGTGTGCTGGGGCTTGAACTTAGGGCCTCATGACACGAGGCAAGCGCCCTACCACTGTACTACATCCCCAGCCCCAATCCAGCATTTTATAAATTGATTGACCTAATGAGGCAACATTATCCAAGCCACATCTTGCTCTCTGGCACCCCAATCCCACATGCTATTCTCTGCCATTCACTCCAAAGGGTTCATTTGTCTGGGTTCTGGAGTTCTAGATCTTGACCCTGCAGCCCAAAACACAGGGTCCACTACTGCGTTGGCTCCCTGCAAAGCCAAGGGCCCACCCTGCTCCCCCCCTCTCAATCCCTCACTCTTCTTAAATAGGAGATGGACCACCCTGCCTCGTGGCACACAGCAGTGTTTACATTGCAATACTCGGCTGTGTAATACATCTGGCATTTTTGGGCAAGATTCCTGAGCTAGGGGCCAGAAGCCCTTAAGCAATGATTTAAGGAGAAAAAAAAAAAAAAAATCATGCACACTGACTTAACAAAGCCTACTTCCAGTTTCTTCTGCTCCCTTCTTTCCAGGTTACATCAGTAACTGCAAACCACCTTGGTTGCCAAACTGAGTAAATCTGCTTCTTCTTTTCATGGATCCTAATAATAATAAACAAACTCTGTGCTGTGATATGAGGACTTGCTTCTCTCTGGCCTTCCCCCTTTCATAGCCAGTGGTGTTATGGGACCCACATACAGTGTGCACTATTTGGGCCAACTCACACCTGGGTTTCTGGATCAGAAATAAGGTCCTGCCTCCACATTGTAAATCTCTCCAACAACAAACTTGTTATTCATTAGCAGGTACATGACTGTCCACCACGGACACAGTTTCCTGAACTGTTTTCCCAACTATGCTCTAAGCCCCCCAAAACCACAATAGTCCTGTCTCTGCTGAAAGGGCTGAGGATGCATCATTTTACATGCAGAATTCCTGAACACTTCCCCAATAGTCAAGCAGTTCCTCAATGATAGCCTTCTACTGTTTGGGAAGGCTAATTATCTCTATCAAACCTAGTTAAAGAGTACATACGTAGACAAAATTAGGCAATGCAGTGTAAGGGGTGGGAACATCCTAAATCCAACTAAAGAGAGGAAAAAAATATTAAAAAAAAAAACTATGAAGTATGATCATAAAGCACCCCAAATGAGGGACTGACTGCAAAGAACAACAGGAGAGTTTATATTTTGATTCTGTATCTTTAAAGAATGTTCCCATGGAGAAGACTCCAAAGAGCTTCCTCCTCCAGAGCAGGCAAGGTGCATCCACTAGCAAAGCCTTTGCTCTCTCTGATGTCAACCAAGACCTTGCACAAGGACTGAAGAGCCAAGGCTTCAGAGTCAGCCAACATTTGGATAAGAACATCCATCTTCTTTGATCTCTACCCAACTCCATTACCCACGGGCTTGGGTAGGGGTTCTATCCAGGGAAGGCCTGAAGGAGGGCACCTGGGTGACCATGTCCTGGTTTATTTTACTCAGCAGTTCAAGAACGCTACAGGACCCTCCTGTTCCCTGTTTCATGGGCCACAGGAAGGACAGGGGACCGAGACACATTTCTCATGCTCTCTGGTGGTTTGGTATACACTGAGAGAACATAATGGGTTCTAAAGTGACCTCCAAAGTCCACAAAGATGTCAGGCACCTTCAGCAGGAGACACACATCTGCCCAAAATAACCCACCCAAGAAGCAACTCTCTGGGCTGGTCTTGAAACCAACATGAGAAACTCAAGGATGCAAGGGCAGTTCTCCATCTAGTGTCTCCCACAGCCACTTTCAAACTCCCTCCTGTCCATCTCTGACTAACCAGACGTAGGGCCATTGCAGATTCCACATGGCGAACTCCAGGATTCCTGATAGGAGGGAATGGCTGGGGCAGCTTAGGTGTGGCTGGGAAAGTGGAAGGAAGGGTGGGATGAAGAGAAGGAAGGAAGGGACCAGGAGAGGTTTGGGGAGCCCCCAGGGCACAGGGAATAACAGCACTACAGGAGCAAACCCACCCAGGTGGGCCAATTGTTAGGGATGTCCTAACTCCCTCCACTTTTGCTCCCCACCAAGAGCATCCAAATAGTGCCAAAATACTATCCTGCAAAACTGCTTCTATTAAACCGGATCCCCTTTAAAATCGTTTTAAAAATCTCCCTGTGTTTGTTTTAAAAGCCAACAGAACTTTTCGAGCTGAACACACGCCATAAGCCTGTGGGCATACTCTTCAGGGTTCAACCTGGGCAGAGGGCTGGCATGGACCACGTGGAGGGCAGCCCCATGAGAAGCCCCTTTCCCTGCAGCACTGTGGCCCCCTGCCTCCCCCCCACACACACACAAATGAGAAGCACAGCAAGGACAGACGTGTTCCAGCTCGCCCTGAGTGGACAGGGCGCTGGGGGTCACGGGCAGGTCAGCTTTGAGGGAGAAATCCAAACGAAACATAAACACCGCCCCATGCAGACCAGACAACTCTCCGCCATCCAGCCAGCATTAATCCAGCATCAGCTGCGGCGCATAATCCAAACAAGCGGCCCCGTCGGCTGGTACATCTGGAAGTTGTCATCTTTTGGAACTTCCAAGCAGCATTTGTATGCATCAGAGACACCCCACTACCCAACTTCCGGGAGGGTCAACAACAGGTAGCAGGGAGA